AACGAGTCCCATAAGATCAACTATTTAATATTCAAAGTGGTAAACCATTTTTTACTCCTCTCAGGTGCACTATAAGGAAACTAGGAGACGCTTTATTGTTGGAAAAGGAGAAGTCATAGAAATGTTGCTCTAGAAATCTCCATCGGTTATGTTTCTTTAATAGTAGCCTTGGGCTATACTGGTTTTTAAGTGATTTAGCATTTTAATAGTAGTTAATGAATTATATCCTACTAAAACATTCATAGTGTTTCAAAAAGCGAATCCATAGAAGTGGATAAAAATCAATGCAAATGAAAATATTGCCCTTGTACCTCTTAGTCAAATAATTTGTCAGAATATTGACTTATTGAAACACATTTTTCCAAATTAAAAAATGTAGTTGAAGAAAAACAGCACAAAATAGAGAATGTCCTGCCTCAGTTTTGAGCCATCACCATTGGAACTCTCTGAGGTCCTGACTTGAGGAGGCCTAGCACCTGCCAAGGCCTCCACAGCATTGCCCCGGAGGGCCTCACCTCTAGTCCAGCAGCTGAACACCCGGAGAGAGCTGGAGAGAGCCAGCTCTGACCATAATTTTGAGTTCATTCAATCAAGAGTATCAACATGTCAGCAAAAGTGTCACATACCCTGAAGTCCTGTCAGCCTGATTATACACATGCACAGGCAGCCAGGGCCTTGCTAGTTTCACCGAGAACTAAAGCCAGAACTATTTGGGAACAGTTGTGCCAACCCTGGCACAGAAAGGCAGCTGTTAACCTGGTCATGAGTGTCATCAACAGAGTGGCCACAGGAATGTGGCTGACGAGGTGGACGTGCAGGGGACACGGGTACTGTAGTCCATCTTGCAATGATTCCCCCCTTCACCAACTGCTGCATGGACAAGAACTGTCTGCCCTTTCTATGCAAGAGGCCATCTGAGACCCAAGTTTTCTCCCTAGCGCACCAGCAAGCCCCTACCTGTCTCATGACCGAATTTCATGACTGACAACATGTAGTTGACTCTACTCTAATTTCTCCCAGTTGCACTTGCTATTGGCACAAAATAATTTAATTAAACATTAATGACAACTTGATTAAATATAAGTATGTAGAAACTGTTTCTGTGAAGACAAAGTTGGATGAAAACAAAACCGAAAGAAAATTGCTACGTATGCCAGTAGATGTTACTAAGATACTTGAAACACTAGAAAAACAAACAGTTTAATATCAAGAAAGATTCTATACTCAGGAACCTTCACACATGTCTTTAAACAGCTGGTTATTTCAAGGATTCTCACACTGGAAATTGTTAAGAGTGGTTCATTATGGGTACAACTTCTTAAGAATACTGCAGTAGAACCCTACAAAACAGATTCATTCCTGCAGAATTCCCATGGTCCCCTAGGTTCTGTCTCGCAAGGTTGAAGATTAGCATCCATTAATGCATTTTAAATTAAAACAAAATGTCTAGTGTCCATCGTTCTGTTTGTTTGTGTATGGATTGGGAGTTTGGGGGAGGGATTGGTTTTGTTTTGGTTTCATGACGCAGGGTCTCAGTATGGGGTCCTTGCTGATCTTTGATTCAAGATGTTCCTGCCCTGGTCTCCTCAGTTCTGGGATTATGAATGAACCACTCCACATTGGGCTTGCCTGTTTTATTTCTTCATTTTATCTGACATTTTCAACTATCGTGCCAGCTGGTACTGACTAGTTCAACAGGGCTTCTATTTTAATGTGAAAACAAACTGCAAGCAAAAACTTGATTGTTACCCCTAAAAATCCAAGATCCAAATTGAGGGACAGTAATGAAAAAAACCCAGGACATGCTGTATATATGTGACAGAAAAGGGGTGCCAGGTCCCTGGGGGAGGTGAGGGGAAGCCACACCCCAGGCCAAGAGGGACCTCAGCAGAACAGCAAACACACACTTGACTCCTGATGCCAACTGAGCAGGTCCTAAATGTCCTTCAAAGCATAAAGGCCACTTGTTGAGACCTCAGCTGGTAATCCAGTTTGCAAGCATTCATTGAGATGAAATCTCAGGTACAAAATCCTGCTGCACATTAAATAGCTTTTCATTGTCTAAGGTCAGTAAGGACACAGTGTAAAGCTGATGATCTTATTTAAAAACAGTGAGCTAAAACTGCAGCAATGTTGAATTGCTCATTTTAAGAATAATGCCATAATTAGATAAGAATATACCCTTGTTTGGAGGAGACGCACACAGGTACTAGGGGTGAGACGGCAGGCTGTCTGCAGTTTACTTATGAATAATTTGGCAAAAGTGTGTGTGTGTGTGTGTGTGTGAGAGAGAGAGAGAGAGAGAGAGAGAGAGAGAGAGAGAGAGGGAGG